CTTAGTAAGTGCTGCACAACCAACACTTGACAGTACAAAAGATAATACCGCATGGAGAGGGATGGACATCTATGACTCTTAGATGAAAAGTGATTCAAACAAGTCAAGTTGAATATGAGGAATTTTTAGTGACATTTTAACCAATTTATTTTTCCCCAGCTTTAGTGAGGAATCACTTACAATGAAACGCACCTATTTTAAATGCATAGCGTAATGAATTTTGGCATTTAGATAAAACCACAATGAAGACATAGAACACTTCCAACAACTAAAAGTTCCTCATGGCCCTTTCCAGTCAAGGCCTTCCTTCCTCCTCCAATTCCAGACAACCGTCAATCTGCTTTCAGTCACTATGGTTTGCCTTTTGCAGAATTTAATATTAATGAATCATATAGTATGTAGCCTTTTGTGTTTGACATGTCTTGATTTGTCTTGGGTAATTACCTAGCTTGCTGTGTTGTATGGTAGCTATATGTCTGTCTAACTTTATAAGACACTGCCAAATTGGTTTTTATGTGGTATGAAATATGGATCAAGGTTAAATTCTTTCAGATGGATTTGTAATTGTTCCAGCAATATTTGTTTAACAACCTATTCTTTGGCTTCATTGAATGTCTTTGCACCTCTATACCTTTTTAAAAGTGTGTGGGTCTACTTCTGGACTCCTTTTTTTCCCATTGATCCATGTGTCTACATTTTTTGTCAGTACTACACTGTCTTGATTACTGTAGTCTTAAAATCAAGTATTGTGACATTGGTATTCTTTCTTAAAATTGTTTTGGCTAGCCTAGTTCCTTTGTTGTTCCATATAAATTTTAGAATCAGCTTGTCAATTTTTATAAAAATCCTGCTGGGATGTTGAATAGAGGGAATTGACATCTTCACAATATATTCTCCTAATCCATGAACATAGAATATCTTTCCATTTATTTGGTCTTTGTATCTTTCATCAGTGTTTTGCTGTTTCGGCATATAGATTTTGCACATATTTTGGTGCATTTATACCTAAGCATTTCATGTTCTTTTGATGCTATTGTAAATAGTGCTGCATTTAAAATTTTAATTTCCAATTATTTATTGCTATCATATAGAACTACTATTAATTAAAAAATTATTTTTTGCTAAACTCACTAAATAGTCCCATGGATTTTTTTGGTAGATTCTTTGGAATTTTCCAAACAGGCAATCATGTCATCTGTGAATAGAGACCATTTTATTTCTTCCTTTCCAAGATTGATTGATTATCTATTGCACAGGATAAAATCATCAGTTCTTCAGTATGATTATGAATAGGAGTGGTGAGAGTAGAAATCCTTGTCTTTTTCCTCATGTTAGGGGGAAAGCATTTGATTTTTTTAAATCATTAAATATGTTAGATGTAGGTTTTTTGAGATGTCCTTTATCAGGTTGAAGAAGTTCTCTTTTATTCCCAGTTTGATAAGAATCCAATCCTTCTTTTAAAAAACTTTACAAAGTAGATATTATTATTAATAGGAACTTTAGAGAAATGATTTATTTAGACCTACATACATGTTTCCCATTTTATTTGTTTACCATTCTTCTGGTATCTCAAAGTGTTCCTCTGGTATTTCTTAATTTCTTCCTGAAGTACATATTTTAGAAGTTCCTTTAGTATGAGTATGTGGGTGGTAAATCTTAAGGTTGTATGTATGTGAAGATATCTTTATTTCACTCTCGCTCTTGCAATATAGAATTAATGAGTGCACAGTTCTAAATGAAGTTTTCTTTAATCACTTTGAAGATATAATAAATTCCCCTCATTATAAGATTAATTAAGATGAAAATTTTCAATTGCATAAAGAGAAAAGTGGGCTTATTGTGAAAATTAAAGAAATGAGTCATCTGAGTGTGTCTAGCTGATTGGCTAGTAGTTCTAGTGGTCTGACTCTATAATTAAAACCTTTGCTCATCCTGGTTGTGGTTTGGCACCACTTGGTGGTGGCTGTCTGCTTCAAAATAAATGTCTTGGCTGGTGCCAATTCTGGATCCTGTCTCACTGGCTAGAACTTCCAGAATACTGGCAGCATTTATAGTAATCTAATTAAGCTTGGGCCCATTTAGGCAGTCTAATCAAAGAAGATAAGGCTGGAAAAATACTGGCAATAAAGGACTCTCCCTGTTTTCTGATATAGGGTGCTTTTTCCTCACCCAGCCTTACCCTTTCCTCCATGTCCTCTAATCCATCCACTCAGAAGATAAAAATGTATCCCACCCAATATGAAATGAGGGCTAGACAGAAGGCAGCCAATCATTAATGATTAATTGGTGATTAATTGTCAATAATACTTGATCCAAATTCTCATTATAATGGGGCTTATAATCCTGGGATTTCGCTCGTTATTTTACTGGTCTGGCTTCCATTGTTGCTATTAAAACATTTGCTTTTAGTCTATTTCTTTGTAGGTTGTCTTTTTTCTCTCTGGATGCTTTAAAGATCTCGTGTGTGTGTGTGTGTGTGTGTGTTTTGAATTTTACGACAGGTCTCAGAATAGCTTTTTAAATTTATTCTCTTTGTGATACTTTGTGCTTCTTGAATTTGTGCATTCATGTCTTTTCTAAATTCTGGAAAATTCTAAGCATTTAACTTTTGAAATATTGCTCATTTCTTGAAATCTGATTATTTCTATGTTAGATCTTTTTAGTCTAATTTCTATAATTGTTTGACATTTCTTTCATATTTTTTATATTCTTATCATTCTCTGTTCATTCTGGATAATTTTCAGAGATAGTTTACAATTTAAAAATTATCTGTGTCTAATCTGCCATCCACTGAGTGTTTCCATTTCAACAAATATGTTTTTGTTTTTAAAAAATATTTTTTATTGATTTTTTTTAGAGAGAGGAAGCGAGAGGGAGAAAGAGAAACATCAATCAGCTACCTCCTGCTGCCTCTTGCACAAATAATGTTCCATTGTATGAATATACCACTTTTTACTTACCCATTGCTGTTTATGATCAGTTATTTTCACATTGTGGTTATTCTGAACAATGCTGCTATAAACATTTGTGTACAACTTTTTGTGTGTGGGGTATAAGTTTTCATTTTTCTTAGGTATACACCTAGGGGTGGGCTGCTGGATCATATTGTAACTCTATGTTTAAACTTTTGAGAAATTACCAGACTGTTTTCCACAGTGGCTGCAATTTTATATTCCCACCAACAGTATATGAAAGTTTGAATTTCTCCATATTTTCCCCAACACTTGTTATTGTCTATCTTTTTTATTACTGCATAGTCATCCTAGTGGGTGTGAAGTGGTATCTCACTGTAATTTTGATTTTTATTTCCTTGAAGACTAATGATATTGAGCAACTTTTCACCTGTTTTTGGCTATCTGTATATCTTCTTTGTAGTAATGCCCATTCAGGATACTTGCCCATTTTTTACTTGGATTATCTGTCTTTTTATTTTTGAGTTTTAGTGGCTCTTTATATATTTTACACACAGGTCTCTCAACAAATAAAAGATTTGCAAATTTTTCTTCCCCATCTGTGGTCTGTCGTTTCACTTTATTTCTGATATCCTTTAAAACAGAATGCTTTTAACTTTGATGTCCAGTCTATTGATTTTTCTTTTGTTGCTTGTTTTTCCCTGTCATCGTGAATCAATCATTACCTCATTCAAGGTGGTGAAAATTTACACCTGTGTTTTCTTGGAAGAGCTTAATAGTTTTGGCTCTTAGAGTTAGGTCTTTGATCCATTTTGAGTTAATTTTTGTACATGGTGTGAGATAAGGGTCCAACTTCATTCTTTTACATGTGGACACCCACTTACCGTAGTAGCATTTGTTGAAAAGACTATGATTTCTCCCACTGAATGGTTCTAGCACCCTGAGGAAGATTCGGTGACCCTAAACGCGAAGGTGGACTCTGGACTCTGGAGTGAACTGGCGTTTTTGACTGTTCACCGTGTTCCAGGCACATTCCTAGGCACAATTCATTCACTCCTCGTACTAGCTGTGAGCCGGGCACTATTCTTACTCCCCTTTTAGAGACGAAGCACTCGAGGTACAGGGCTTTGTCCAAGACTAACTACAAGGCTAGTAAGCGGCGCAACCAGGACTTAAACTCCAGCCGACTGACTTGAGCCTGAGCTCCGACGCACGCTGTCAGTAACCGTGAGGAATCAGGACTTACAATTCCACTGAGGAGTTCATTTTAAACGAAACCGGGGGAGGTCGGGTTGGCCACTAACTTTGGAAAAGCACAGCAGAGTAGGGGCTTCACTACCCGGCTTCCCACCGAGTATTAGAAACGGACCTGCCTTCTTTGGTTGAAACCCCTCCATGCCGGCTTAAGTACTGATAAGTCCACGCAGCACAGCGGTGCCTTAGGTTCCCGGGGCAGCGTAGCTCCGCGTTAATTTGGCCACGCGGACGGCCCGAGCGGCCCAGGAGCCCA